ATGTTGAGTGCCTGCGCCCAACATCTCCCCCTTTCTTTATAACTGACACAGGGTCTCCAGAGGTTGGTGCCCCTCGTGAGGTGTCACGCTGCAGTCATGACAGTGCCTCACTACTCGTTGGTGCTCTTTTGGAGGGGGCGGGAGTATTGTTTTATGAGCCCAACCGGCATGCTCATCGACTTGGAGACCGGGGTGTCTCCTGGCCAAGGACGACACCCCCTGCGATGCTTTGCTCCACACCTGCGTCACAGCATGGCGAGCCATGCTGCCGGGCTTTGACCGGATTCCACGGCCCGCAATGCTTGTTTGATAATTACCTTGTCCCTATTCCTTTGTCTGCGAATCCGACAGAGCAGAAGTAGACTGCCGAATGCGGCAAGTGTAGCCATGGTAGCCAGAGCCCCTATTCCTGCCCATTCCTTTATGAAAGAGAAAGCTTTATGGATCCAATTGGAGAGTTGGCCCAAGTTTATGGCAATATATTGCGCACGAGCTGGATCACAGGAAGCTCGTCTGGGTCCGCCATAACTGGAATCGGTACGAACTGGGGTACCTGCATAATGACAGCTGAAAGTGTACTGTTATCCCAACATTGTGACACATAACAGGTTGCGGTGGAGCAATTTAGAAAAATCATATTTGTGGTGGCTTCAAACAACAGAAAAAGGTAGGGAGCTTGCAGGCAGATTGGGGTTTTTGTGATATTGAAGGCCTTTTGAGACTTGTAGGTGGAGGGTGTGAAGGAATTGTTGCTCCTCACCCCTGAAACATTGCTATGAAAAACACGGACTGGGGTCTCTGTAGTCTGGCCTAATTGGAAAAGGGCTGATATATCTCCTGCTGCTCCGGCCCGTAAGGGGCATTCCATTTATATCAAAAGCTGAGCGGCACTCCGCAGCGGAGTGGTTCCCCTTTTTACATCTAGGGCACTTTCGGTTCTCAGGGGGAGGAGCGTTTTCTCTTCCAGGTCCCCAGGTCGGGCAGTCTCTTTTTATGTGTCCCTGCCTACCACATTTGAAACAGCCCTCCTTCAGGCAGGCGCCATTTTGTGGCGCCGCTCTGCCTCCCTGATTTTCTCTGGTTAGCTTCATCAACATGGCCGCCAGTCCTGAGTTGGTTAATGGTCCCCCGATCTCCCGACAGAGTTTCATCCATGCCTCAAGGGGTCTATTTTTGTATGGGCTAATAGCAGAGCGACATTCTTTGGTGCATTGTTCAAAAATGAGCTGCTTAATGAGCGGCATGGCTGTCTCTGCGTCTCCAAAAACTCTCCCTGCTGCCTCCATCACTCAGTAAGTCGCTCAAAGCAATTAACAGCGGCTAACTGGCAGTGTTACCCATCTTAAGATAGATTTCTCTTTAGGGGACAGCTTAATCCCTGTGCCCCTTCATGGTGCCCCCATAGCCCGCCTTTTTACGGCTCCTGGAACTCTCTTTACAAGTTCCTCAATCCCTTGTGACGCGTCCGCCCAACGTTGCCCAACAGCCCCCGCTATCTGGCGCTGTAGCCCCCGCTACCAGCGTTTTGGCAGTTTTACCTGTTAACATCTCTGTTCCATCGGAGAGAGAGAGGTTCCCCGTATGGGCCGCCAGTTGACCGGCGCAGCCCCCCAATGAGACAGAGGACGCTCTTGTTGGTAACAGGTAACTGCCGCTTTATTGACGCGGGTTCTGGCTTATATATCTGGCCGTGACCAATCACAGGCTGCCACGAGGAGGCAGGGTTGGGATGGGACGCGGGCTCTGGCTAGTATACCCAGCTGTGGCCAATCAGGGGTTGCCACAGAGTCAGCACGGGGCGAATATGGAGTGAGCATGGGGTGTGCACGGGGTGGCTAGTTTGGAGAGGGACGTAGCACATTGCGGAAGCTGACATGGTCCTTGGTCCTGGGCGGAGTATGTTGAGCACCTGCGCCCAACAGATAGGATGTGCTTTAAGTGAGGGGGCATATAGATGCCATCCATAGAAATGTCTTTTACTGTAATAAAATTTCCAAATGTAAACATTACCATTTTTAAACTCATTCTTCACTGACCAACATTTATGAAGTTTCTGTCAAAAGCATTATAGTTTGCCCTCATCCAGCTTACTCTCTGGATCTGATGCTGTGTAACTTCTGATGCTTCCCCAAACTCAAAATGATCTTGCAAGGTAAACATTTTGAACTGATTAAAGACATCCAGGCAGCCACGACAGTGCCAAATAAGGCACTCATGAAAGACTTCCAGTACGACTTCAGAAAGTGTCAAGAGGCTGGGCATGGTGGCACAGGCCTGTAATCCCAGCACTCAGTTGACTGCAACAGGAGGATTACTACGAGATGAGGCCAGCCTGGGCTACAAAGTGAGCTCAAGCCATCTTGAACTTCAGAGTGAAATGCTGTCTCAAGCAAGGGTGGCAAGAATGACAGAATAACTGAAATAAGGGTGAGAATAACCAGGGACTCTAATGGCCATGTTTTTTACTGTAACACATTTTACCATATGCTTTGATCACGCCATGTGAATTCTGAAAAATTTGCTTTTTCCACACCTAAGTCATTTAGTCAAGTCCATCACTACGTCCATTCTTAAACTGTTGGGTAGAATTTCTAGTCACAACTCTGATGGCGTTTAGACTGTTTTCAACCTTTCAGCTACCAACTGTCTTGTCCATGAATGTGCACAATAGTGAACATTTAGAAATTTCACTGCCTTCAAAAGTGACAGTGATGACATTTCTTCTCACTCCAAATATTACGCTTTTGGAATTTGCATGGCAGTATGAGTGGAGTTAGACAGGGACTTATTCATTTGCCATCTGAATTTTACCTGTGGTTTATGTATTTTTCCTTTTCAGATTCCTTCTCTAGGGATCCTCTGCAGACACTCCCATTGTCAAAACCCCGTTTCAGATGATTCAGGTGGCAGCTTCTGCTGCATTTCAGGAACACTTCTATACTTTTTTTTTTTTTTTTTACAAAATTTATATCTGTTAATCTGCTAATGAAACTGCTTTGCTTTGTTTGGTAGCTTCTTACATTACCTCATGTGTTTAATGGGATCCACAGGGAGGACAATTTAATTGCAGAAGAAAGTTCATTCTCTCAATGAAACTTCTGATATTGGCAAACTGCTTATCTGAAAGCCTGCACAGATCACACTCTCCCACATGTGTACAGCAGAAGCAGCTTTCCTATGCTCTAGCATACATTTTTTCTACTCAATGTATTAACATTTTGACCTCATTGGTTTTAACTATTTCTTCTGCTCAGATTCAGTATTTATCACATGTATACCAATTACCTGTCACTTGGTTATATTCTTTACCAATGGGAGAAAAAGTTACTTTATGATTAATTTGTAGGAACACTTAAAGGTATGAATTTTTTAAAAGGGAAGTTTTTATTTTTCTCCCAATCTAGGGTTTAAAGAAACATTTATGCTACATTGGATCATATAGAAGTTTTATACTCAGGTATTTATATAATCAATGAATCTGTGTGAGAAGAGCAGAGACATCTGGCTCTCGTAGCAAGGTTGTTCTCATCCTGTTGTGTTAAGTGTCCACTAATGTTTACTCCACAGCTAAACAACTGGGAACTTTCATGCACAGAATGAACATTTTTTTGTAGAGAACAGAGTCAGATTTTCCCAGTACTGTTTTCCCAAGTACTGAGCCCATGACGTGAAATGTCACTTTTATGCATTTTTTATGTGTATCTGTATGAATGTGCATGTATGTTCACACACAGTATTTTAAAACTTGAAAACTGACTCAAACTTAGTGAGGTAAAATCCATAGATTTCCACTACTGACATCTGTGTAACACTGAAAATTCTTAGAGGATTAATGTATATTCACATTTTCATTTCTACCCTCCATTAAACTTTCATCATTCTCTTTGCATCTGTAAAAGTGCATTTGTTACTACATTGACTGCATACTCAAAGGCTTCAAAAGTCAGCAAACAGCAACCCAGGACAGCTATAAGGCAACAGGAAGTGTTTTGAACTCCAGAGAATTACAAAGCACAGGTTTTCCTAAAGGTGTTACTATTCCTTTAACACTGGGTTTTACTATATAGTTCAGGCTGGCCTTGAACTCACTGTGTAGTCCAGGCTATGCTCAAACTCGCAGTGATCCTCCTGGCTTAGCCTCTCAAGTGCTGGGAAAACAACTTTTAAATGACATAGATTTGATAGACTACATTTGCCTAATTAGGAAAAAGTATCAATCTTATTTTCTATTATTTTTTGGTTACTGATCAAGTTGTTTAATATTTTGCTTTTGCTTACATGTAAATGATGACTATATCTCACTAAACGCTACCTCTTAATTTATTTTAAAACCAGCTTCTGACAACTGCGTTATCTATATGATGTTGTTTTCCTTATCAGGTCATAAATCCACTTTCACCTTTGTATCATCATAAAATATAATGATCCTCCTACTATATTAAATCTCACCACTCAACTTTACTATTTTTAATTAAGAAAAATCTTTACACTTTCCCAGTTGTGTTACTGGTTATTTTTGGTTGATGGGCAGCTCTTTTTTTGTATGCCATAGTTCCTTCTCATTTTACACTAATATCTGAATTAGTTTATGTTAGGCACTGTGATGAGAAATTTTCATGCATTATTTTTCTAATTTTTTGAGGTAGTAGTAGCAATATCTCTCATAATATAAGACTGATGTTTACAAATGACAAAATGCCACCCCAAAATTAGGGCTAGAAAATGGAAAAGCAAGGACTAGAGCCCAGAACTTTTTACTACTGGAATGAGTTCTTAAATCTGGGAGTGTTCAGAGAATTAGATGGATACTGACATGAAGACTTTGGAGTGTAGTGTGGACTAAGGAACTGGGGTGGGGGCATGTGTAATTTAACCTATGGGATGTCACTGGGGGATTTTAAGGAGAAATGACATGATTAAAACTTTTACATTAAAAACAAATTTGGTTGGAATGTGGACAGCTGACAGAGGCAATGGAGAACACAGGGAGACAAAATAGCTATTTTCATAAGGATCTATGTTAAATAGATTAATGTACAAAGATGGATAAAGATGATAAAATGAAAACAGATTAAAGGAGATTCTGAACAGATTTAGGAGATAAAACCCACAGGTCTTGGCAACTGACTGGAGGGTGAAGGTGAGGGAGAGGAAAAGGTTAAGAATGCTTCCATAGTATGAATTTTTTCATGATGAGCAAGGTGTGCACGTTGCCTGAAAGATTTTCTGCAATCTTTACATTCATAGGGTCTCTCTCCAGTATGAATTCTCTGATGTAGAGTAAGAGATCCACTATAGCTAAAGGCTTTCCCACAAACATTACATTCATAGGGTTTCTCTCCAGTATGAATTCTCTGATGTTGAGCAAGGCCTGCATTCTGGCTAAATGTTTTCCTACATTCCTTGCACATATATGGTTTTTCTCCAGTATGACTTCTCTGATGTTGTGCAAGTGATGAACTGTTGCTAAAGGCCTTCCCACATTCAACACATTCATAGGGTTTCTCCCCAGTATGAACCCTCTGATGTTGATCTAGATATGCAACCTGGCTGAAAGCTTTCCTACATACTTTACATTCATAAGGTTTCTCTCCAGTATGTACTCTCTGATGTTGGGCAAGGTGGGCATACTGACTGAAGGTTTTCCTACATTCTTTACATTCATAGGGTCGTTCTCCTGTATGAATTCTCTGATGTACAATTAAGTATCCACGATGGCTGAAGGCTTTCCCACACACATTGCACACATAAGGTTTTTCTCCTGTATGAATTCTTTGATGTTGAGCAAGGAATGAACCGTTACTAAAAGCCTTTCCACATTCAATACATTCAAAAGGTCTCTCTCCTGTATGAACTCTTTGATGCTGAGTAAGATGTGCAATCTGGCTGAAGGCTTTTTTACAATCTTTACACTGATAAGGTTTCTCTCCCGTATGAACTCTCTGATGTTGAGCAAGGTGTGCATTTTGGCTGAAGGCTTTCCTACATTCTTTACATTCATAAGGCTTCTCCCCTGTATGTATTCTTTTGTGCTGAGCTAGGTTTGCACTCTGGCTAAAGGATTTTCCACAGTCAACACATGCATATGGTTTCTCTCCAGTGTGAATTCTCTGATGGAGAGTGAGGGATGAGCTCTGATTGAAGACTTTCTCACATTCATTACATTTCAAAAGTTTCTTTTCCACATAAACCTTCTTATATTTCATTTCAACAGACTTTTTCTGGTAACTTCTCTTTTGTGACTCATGTTTACATGCTCTTTCTTTTGTAGGAAAATTCTGTTGTATATCTAGTAATGCATCCTGCTGGAATGTTTGCCAAGATTTACTATACTCATCACTTTGACCTTCAGAGAGGATTCCTTTATGTCTGATGATCAACTCACTAGAATGTACCTCTTGATGTCCCAACTTATTTTTATACCAGTGCTCACTTCCATAATTTTCTTTTAAATTGGGGTAATCAAGAGTGTAACTAAGATGGCTTCTTTCCATTGTCATTACTTTGGCTGATTCTTCATTAATATTTTGCTCTGTTGAAAATTCAGTGGCTCTAAATACATACTCCCAATCTGAAAGATAATAAGAAAATAAGTATGTTTTATTTACTCATTGTAAGATAAGAAACTTCTAGAATAAAATTAGGAGGATAAAATACAAAAGAAGTTTAAGATTTTCACAGCTTTTAAAGTAGTCTAAAAACTATGAAATTACAAATAGTAAGGGCTTAACAAAGTTGAGGAAATAAGCAGTTATATAAGCAGTTAACTATATCAGAAAAACATAAGAAGTTAAAAGATCATCTAAAATTATCATATCATATCTAAGGTAGCTGTACAATCTTCCAATATCTTTTCTCTCTTGTTAAAGGTTATCCTGCATTTAACTTAATTAGCTTTACAAAGCAAAATTTTACATTAATCATATAAAACCAGCATTGGCCTTCCAGACTAAAAACACATCAGAATGCTCATGAAACTCTCTGGTTGAACTTTTGCAGTTGCAGAAAGTTCTCTGTGAAAATCATTTCCTATGTGATAAATTCCAACTAAATATAAACTTCAATTGACACCTGAAGTTAACCTTGTGTCACACACCTTGCTTTTATTAACAGAAGATAAATCTTTTGGCTTCCAGTTTTCAGTCCCAAATCACAGCACTTCTGTTTTTTTCTTTTCTTTTCAGTACTGTGAAAATCATTTCCTATGTGATAAATTCCAACTAAATATAAACTTCAATTGACACCTGAAGTTAACCTTGTGTCACACACCTTGCTTTTATTAACAGAAGATAAATCTTTTGGCTTCCAGTTTTCAATCCCAAATCACAGCACTTCTGTTTTTTTCTTTTCTTTTTAGCCCAACAGCTAAGGGCCAAGGATCTTGCACATGTGAGGCAAACACTCTACCACTGAGCTACAGCCCCAGCCCTTTGTAACTTGTTTTAAGACATGATTCTGAGGGGCCAGGGACTTAGCTCAGCAGCATAAGCACCTGCCTGGTAAGTGCAAGGCCGTGAGTTCAATTCCTGGTTAAAACAAACAAACAAACAAACAAGAAAAGAAAGGATTTTGTTAAACTGCCCACGTTTGGTGGGATTATAAACATACCAGTAGGCCTGGCGTCAGATCACCTCATACTCATACTTGCTTCCACTACGTTAGCCAAATGGGTACTCATTTTATCCCCACCGTAAGAACACCACATCTGCTTTTTCCTGTCTGGAAGTATCTGTTTCACCCAATCCCTTAAAGTCTTTCTTCTCTTGAGGTTTTACTTACATAGTTGTCTCTTCACTATGACCTTCCCTAACTGCCCAACAAAAAATAGTGCATACTTACCGTTCTCCCTCCTTCTACCTCACTTTTATTTAATACATTACATGCTAATTTACTCTCTGTCCTCATTAGACTGTAAACTTTCACGTGCAAGAACTTTGTTTTTTCTCTCTTCACCCAGACAAGCATCATCTAGAAGAGGCTGGGCACACAGAAGGAACCAATAATACATGAAATATCACAATAACTCCTTATAGTAATTTGTGTGCATAAATCGGGTAAATGGCTAAAAAAATAAGTGGAGTATTACCACTGAACTGGATGTGATACCACAGTACATAACAAAATTAAATAGGAAAACAATACTAAAGACAATATACTTTGAGACACTAAACCCCACCTCATGCTCTTCCAAACTCCAACTTCCCCTCTGATGAAACAATAACAAACCATATTCATGAGATTTTCCTAGAATGTAACATGAGAGTGAAATCCTGAAGGCTCACTGGTAGAGAGTATGAAATGACTGCAAGGTAGCAATTAAACTAGTTAAATATGGATTTAGTTCATAAAACAGTGAAAAGAAGGTACAAATGCAAATATAGTCATTCCTAATATTCTCATTAGATCAAAAAGTTTATATACTGTAATTATGATAACAGTGATTCTCAAACTTTAGAGTACATCAGAATTACCTAAGGAATTTGTTAAAATAGGTTACCATGAAACACATATAGGATTCTAATTGAGTAGGTCTGAGATGACGTTAAGAATCTGCATTTCTTTTTTAAAAACATGTTAGTATATGTTTGTAATACATGATGAATGTATTCATCATGGGGAGAATCTACATTTGTAGCGAGTTCCTAGGAGATACTGCTGGTCCCAGACTATATTTTCAGCACTACTTCTCAACAGCAGTCACTGAAAGTATAATATAAAAATGTGTAACTAAAATGTCCCAAAATTAATCAAAATTCTAAAAAATATTCTAAGATGTCAAAGAGATAAGAAGATAGGGAAAAAGGCAGATGTGGTGGCACACAGCTATAATCCTAAGACTCCAAGAGCTGAGGTAGCATAACTGCTGCAGGTTCAAGGCCCTGGCCTACATAATTCAAGGCCAGCCTGCATTACACAGTGAGACCCTACCTCAGAACACCAACCAACCAACAAATAAATAAATGGGTGGGGGGAGGGTGGTGTATAAATAAGAGTAAATTAAAAAGCAATTTTAAGGCAGATTCAAATAAAATTACACAAATAATTATAGACTGAGTATCTCTTATTCACACTGTTAGGCATGAAAAGAGTTTTGGATTTCAGATTTTTTTTGGTATTTTGGAATATTTGTATATACATAGTAAAATTACTTGGGAATGGGCCCACAGTATAAAACACAAAACTTGTTTATTGATTCATTTTATTGTTATTATTATTATATTTTGGAGATTGAATCTTGCTATATAGCCTCAGCTGGCTTTGAACTTTCAATATTCCTGTCTTAGTCTCTGAAGTGCTAGAATTATAGCTGTGTGCCACCATGCTCAGCTCTGATTCATATATACATTAAACATATAAAATACACATAATTTTGTACATTATTTTAAATATTCAGATAAAACAAGTTTTATGATATGAAAATATCATATATCTCAGAAAGTTTCAGAGTTTGGAGCCTTTCAGGTTTTTGGATTAGGAATGCTCAAACTGTGTACTTAATATTAATTGACCACATATCCACTTAAAATGTAGTGATGGATAAAAAAGGAAGACCCAATGCTGTACACAGAAAACTCACATTAAATATCAGGATATAGTGCAAATAAATAACCAGACAGACAAAGATGCAGCATGCAAATTATACACATCAGGCTTACTCATACAGTGCCTATACTTATATCAGATAAACTTCAAAACCAAAGTACTGCCAAAGATAAACAAAACATATCATAATGATAAGAGGGTCAACTCATCAGGGAGAAGAAATAATTACTAATATGTGTGTATCTAATACAGAGCCTCAACTAAGAGAAAAACTGGCAATGAAAGTAACAAATAGGTAACTCCATAACCATACTAGGCCAACTGTAGTAAGAGCTGCTCAGCCACTAAAGAAACCAGAAAAGATGTATAAATGCATAGAGGATCCTAACAGAATGAATGATGCTTATCTGGTTTATATTAACAGAACAATATGCCTAACAAACTGTATAACATGTATTTATGTGTGATCAGTAAGACAGACCATATGCCAGGCCATAGCCATGTGGCAGTACATGAAAGCATGGAAATTAAAGACAGTTCTTCACCCTCAACAGAATTAAATTAAAAAAAGATGTTTGGTAAACTTCAAACATCTGCGAATTAATCTATTTCTCTATAATTCATAAGTCAAAGCATATAACTGGAGAAATCAGAAAATAACAGTGTGACTGATAATGATGATAATATAACATGTCAAAATTTCTTGGATACAGCTTAACAGTACTTAGAGCAAAGTCTATAATTTTAAAATGCTTATATTAAAAAAACTAAAAGTATAAAAATCAATAATCTAAGATGTCACCTCAAGAAGGGAGGAAAAGACAAAGTAAACTCAAGGAAAAGAAATAGAAACAAAAAAGCTAAGTAGACAAAATAACAAATTAGAAAACAGTCAATGGAGAAAATAAATCATAAGTAGGTTCTTTAAATCATAAGTAGGTTCACGAAGACAAAGCAGAAAACAGAAATCAGCAACATCAGAATTTAATGATGTTATTATACATCTTATGACATTTCAAAGATTATAAACAACTGATATTAATAAACTGGGAAACTAAGACAAATGCACAGATGCCTTAAAAATACAACCTCCCAAAGCTAATCTAAGACAAATTAGATAACTAGAAAAACAATACATCCAGTAAACCTAAGAACAATTAGATAACTGGAAAAACAATATATCCAGTAAACATAAAAAATACTACTTGCACAGATGTCTTCACTGGTAAACTCCACCAAAAACACAAGAGAGCAACAGCAGTATTCTTCTTAACTCTTTCACAAAACAAACCAACCACAAAAGCCCAACTTGTTTTCAGAAGGCCTGCATTATCTTTTTTTGGAACTGAGCATCGAACTCAGGACCTTGTGCTTGCCAGATAGGTGCTTGTGCCCTGTGTTACTTGATACTGAAGCCAAGTTAAGGAATTACAAGAAAGTAAACCTAAAGACCTATATAGCACATAAGCATTTGAATTTTATAAATCTGTGGCAAACCCAAGAATATATGAAAAGCATAATCTTGATCAAATAGAATTTATCTCATCAGTATGGTATATATCAGAACATCCCCCCAAACCTTCTATGCTTAAAGTTACGGCTTTGAAAGATGATTAGGTTATGGGGTTTTTAGCAGGCTTGCAGTTAGGAGGTGGGGCCTGGTGGGAGGAGCTGAGTCACCAGAGGGGAGCTGCCTGGGAGGGTGTATTTCCTTGCTTGGTTCCGCCCTCTCACTCCTCCTCCTGCTGAGAGGTCTGTCTGCCATACCCCAGTACCCTGGAGCCATCTAACAGTGGACTAAAACCACTATGAACCCTAAGCCAAAATAAACCTCTCCACCTTTACTTGCGGGTATTGGGTATTTTGTCCTAGCAATGAGAAAAATATGACATCATGAATATAAGATTGGTTTCATATTTGAAAATCACCAATGCAATTCACCATATTAACAGAATAAACAAAAAAATTACAGGATAATATGATGACTATCTGACCCATTTATTTTAAAGATGCTTAGTATACTAAGAATACAAAGGAGTTACTTCAACTTGATCAGACATCTAAGAAAAATCTATAGCTTGTGTTAACCTAACAGTGAAAGATAAAATATAAATTGTCCTAAGATTAGTACAACACAAGTATATTTTTTCTTACCACTTCTTTTCAACATTGTACAGGAGGTGCTAGCCATTGCAATATACCAAGAAAAAAAGAAGGCAAGGGTCAGAAAGGAAAATATAAAACTCTATAAAAATCTACTGACATCAAGAATCTACTGAAAAATCAAGAATCTACTGAGTAACTGGTAGAACTACTACAAAATGAAAATAGTATGGTCACAAGATATAAAGCTGGGGACTGGGGATTTAGCTCAGTGGCATAAGTGCCTGCCTTGCAAGCAGGCAGTTGTGAGTTCGATCCCCGGTACCGATAAAAAGGAAAAAGACAAAAAAAAAAAAAGATATAAAGCTAAAGATCAATTTACATTTTTGCATACTAGTAGTACTGGAAAATGTAATTTTAAAAATTCTATGTGTAATAGCACCCCAAAACCATAAGACTCCAGAAAGAATATGTAAAAGACATACAAGACCACACTACATTGGTTACTTTAAAATATTCCTCAGAGAAATTAAAAAAGCCTATAATAAATGGCTTATGTCATACTCATGGATTAGAAGACTCAATGTTGTTAAGAGGTCAATCCTTCCCCAAACGATGTATAAATTCAACATAATCCTGATCAAAGTCCAAGCTTTTAAGTAGAAATTCTCAATTTCATTCCAAAACGTGTATCACATACAAGGTGATCTAAAACAATCAGAGCAATTTTACAAATAGCACTATCTGAGCTGGGTGGAGTAACACACCAGCAACCCCGGCACTTAGGAGGCTGAGGCAGGAGAAACACTGTGAGTTCAACATCAGCCTGGGCTATAAAGTGAGCTGAAGGCCAGCCTGAACTGTCTCAAAAAAGACAAAAAAAAAAAAAAAAAACCAAAAAAACAAAGAAACAACAAATATACAAAGCTATAGTAATCAAGATGGTGTGGTTCTGGTGAAAGGATAAACATGTGAATCAATGTAATGAAACAGTACAGAATCAGGATCATACAACACATGTATTCAACTATTTTCAGCAAAGGTACCAATACAATGAAGAAGAGAAAGGCTTTTCCAATAAAGGGTAATGAACAGCATGTTCACAATGGGAAAAAAATGAGCCTCAGTCTTTAGCTTATGAGCTAAAAATATTACAATTAGCTCAAAGTGGATCACAGACCGAAATGTAAAAGCTAAAACAATAAAACTGCTAGAAGAAAATCTTTGTGATGTAGCTATAATAATGAAATAAAAGAATTTAAACAAAACAAGTATTTATTAGATATTAGAAGCACTGACCAAGACAAATCAATAAATTGGATTTTACAAAAATTGAAAATTGGGGCTGGGGATTTAGCTCAGTGGCATAAGCGCCTGCCTTGCAAGTAGGCAGTCCTGAGTTCGATCCCTGGTACCGATAAAAAGGAAAAAGACAAAAAAACAAAAAACAAAAATTGAAAATTTTGGTCCTACCAAAGATAGCAATAGAAAAACAAAAAGCCAAGCCAAAATTGTCATCCATATATTCCAGGGCATATAAAATGAAAAACCTTCTTTGAAATCTACTTAGAACTCTTACAATTCAATAAGACAACTCAATAAAATAGAGAAAAAAGGTTCGAATGAACAGTTCATGAAAGGTAGATTTATGGCCAATAAACATATAAAAGGTGCTCATCATCCCGTTCAACACAGAAATTCTTTTTAAAACCACAAAATGAACTAGACGTAGTGGTACACGTACATAATCTTGGCACTCTGGACAGTTGAGTCAGGAGGATCACAAATTGAAGCCCAGCTTGGGCAATTTAGCTACTTAGCAAGATCACGTATCAAAATGAAAACAAAACAGTTCAAAGCAAAATGCAAATAATAAAAAGGGCCACGGATGTAGATGAATGCAGAGGTACTGAGTTCAATCCCTGGTATTGCAAGTAACCAATCAAGAAACACATAAATGAAAAAATAAGTGACAAAGCAACCGTTAGAGTGACTTTAATTCAAAAAGTACTGCCCATACCATGATTAGGTGACAGCATGAAGCACTTGGAATGCTCATACATCACTAGAGGGGATATAAAATGGTACAATACCTTCAGAAAACCAGCAGTGTCTTACAAAGCTAAGCGTATAACTCCCATATGACTGAATTTAGAAAAATTAAAATATGTCTATATAAAGTTCTACATATGACAGCTTCGTAGAAGTTTTATTTATTATAGCACCAAACTGGAAACAACCACGTCTACCAAGTGAATGGATAATAGATAATGTATTTATCCATTCTCAGTGAATACTATTTAATGGACTATTACTCAGCAATAAAAAGAATAATCTATTCAAACACACACTAGTGTGGATGAATTTCAAAATTATCACGCTAAGTGAAATAAGCCAGATAAAACATAAGCCACATTGTATGATTCCACTTATTTTAGATACAATCCAAATTAAATGAGAGAGACCATTTCGCTGGTTGAAACTGGAAGTGGAGAGAAGGACAGACTGAATGATACAATCAATCTTTTGCAATGATGCTAATGCTATGTGTGGTACTTGTGTGATGGTCTCATGAGTATATGCAAGTGTAAGAGTTCCTTAAATTGTACAATTCATACAAATCAAGTTTTCTCTACAAATATTCTTTGATGTTAACATTATAAAATAATTGATCAAAATACAACAAAACCAGAATGATCTCTTTTAAATAACTTGAGAAAAGGGCAAATTCAAAACAGTAGATTTAGGAAACATCAATAACAAAAGAACTAACAGAATCCATAGGAGCTAGGTGAATAACAAAGAAAAGTCATAGCCCTTAGTAATTTCATTGTTGAAAAAGATATTAAATTAACTGATTAACCTTTCCTTTCAGCAAAGTGGAGAATGAAATAAATGCAACAATAGAAGGAAAGAATAATAAAATCAGCAAAAATAATTGAAAAACAGAAGAATGTTACAGGATAAATCCGTAAGTTGGGTCTTGAAAAATAAATAAAACTGATTTATGAGTGGCAAGCCTAATACATTCTTTCAAAAATAATTACTATCTAAAATAGGAAGTTAAAATAGAAAACTATTATAAAAAAGTAAAAAGAATTATAAGAGATCACTCTGTCCAAATTCATGGAAGTAAGTCTGATGCCCTAAATGAAAAGGGCAATTATCTAGCAAATTTAAAATGCTAAAACTTAATCAAGGACAGAAACTACAGACAGGTAATTTATTTACAATGGAGGATGCTGAGAAAGTTGTCAAAGATCTGCTTTTCTGCAAAGGCCTCAGCATCAGGCTTTACCTCTTAAAATTAGCGATATTTATTCCCACTGGTATCTCTAAATCAGAGTTCTTCTCTGAGTCTTTTCCCCAGTTCCACTGTATACTGCATTTCTAGACTTAGAAATCTTCACATATCATAAATTTCTTCTGTCTCCAGCCAATTTATCCTTTTTTTCTCCTACTAACCTATTTTCTTCTTATAGTTTTATTAAATGCTATCTTCCTCTAGTTAACAGATATGAAAATAAAACCAGAAATACTTTCTTTTGCTTTGATGGTCCACAAACTTCTAAATAATTCCAAGAATTTAGGAGGATGCTATGCTTAAAAGCAGAAACTCAGGGAAAGAATAAATGGCTGACCAATATGTAATCTATTAACTAGTGATTTCTTACCTTTTTTTTTTTTTTTTTGTAAGTCTGTATTACTTGTACCCTTATACTGTTTTGTTTTTTTCCTTTAAAAAAAAAAAGTAAAAAAAACCAAAAAGAATAAATGGATGAGTAAATGTATTGATCCTTGCACCTAAAAAAAATGAGTAACTGGAAAGGAAAAAAAGTGTAGATTTGTAAAAAATGGGAATCAGTGAACTTGTATGAAACTAAATGTAAAGATGTTGGGATATTTGGACCCACAGAACAGGAATACAGGTTAACAGAGTAGTCGCTAATTTGTAAGACAACACAGACAAAGAGAACACATTTAGGGAGCTCATGGTAGAGATAGCTCAGGGTTTCTTTCCAGGCCCTGAGCCATTAATAAAATCTACGTGGTAAGCACCACATATAAGCTGGAACCTTTCAGAATTGCTAAACCCTTCCTGCAATGGTATGTACTTTCCTAATTCTTTCTCACTCACCAGGGCACAGGTCTCTTGTTCCCTTCTTCATCATCCAGGGCTCTTTTCCTTGTTCCAATAATGAGATTACATCTGGCTTAGAAACAGAAATTCCTGATTACAAGAAATAAGAAAAGAATTAGCCACATCTGTAGATCAGATCAAATTATTTGGTCATCAGGAAAGATGTGGGCACTATAGGAGGGAAGGATGAGAAAGATGTTTCAGGAATAGTCTAGTGAAGCTACCAACCGTGCAAAAGTCAACCTATTTTGCAGAGCATAAGAACTTTTGTTTCTGTTTTTAGAGGGATCTTGCTCAGGCCGGCCCTGAATTCCAGAGTAAACAAAACCTTCTGTCTCAGTCTCCCAAGTAGATGGGACTACTGGTGCATACCAAGACACCAAGCTTGAGAAACAGAAATTTAGTTCGGGAAGCATATGGGAGGCTTCTCAATCATATCACTGGAACACAATCCTCTGTGCAGATTCTGAATTATGGGGAGACTTCCTTACCCAGTGATACCAGGCTCCTATAGTTCTCCAACATCACCTTCCTGTACAAATTCCGCTGCACAGGGCTCAGCCATTTCCATTCCTCTTGAGTAAAATTTATAGACACATCCCCAAATGTGACCAAATCCTGAAATGACAGAAACACATTCTTGCTCAACTAGTTCTGACACAGGCCTCGGTTAGAGTGAAACTGTCTATACTTTTGAAGAAACATCTTGCATACAGCAAAAATTTTAGGCAAGATCCAACATATGTCAAAGAACTGCTATGAGAAATATATGGTTTCAAAGAGAATCCGGACTGGTAGAGAAAAGATATACATATATGCACAAAACTGGGCAATAACTGAACACTGTAACCAATCAAATATAAAATTCTAGGCTATTCACACTAAATGCCACAGCATTTCTCCATTTGGGGAAATCAGGATACATGGGGGCAGTAAAGATTATTACATAATAAGTAATGGCTGCATATCATCTTAAAAGTAGCCACTAAAAGATTTATGAAAATTATGTATCATTAATAAGAAAATAGGAGGGATGCCTAATTTATCTAAAAGGCAAAAAGGATAAAGGAATAAAAATCAAATGGCATAAGTGGAAAACAAACAGATATCATAGCTATGTTTTAATATGCATCTATATGTAATAATATTAAACTAAAATGTACTGAGCATTAATTAAAGACCAGTCTCGATTCTTTTTTTTTTTTTTGGTCTTTTTCATTTTTATCGGTACCGGGGATCGAACTCACAACTGTCTGCTTGCAAGGCAGGCGCTTATGCCGCTGAGCTAAATCCCCAGCCCCTCGATTCTAAAAAGCCAGCTGTTAGAGTTGTGTCTGGATGGACCCCAAAGACTCATGCAGTCATGGGGTCAGGCTTGTAGAATTTGTGATTAATTCATGGTCCAATGCTGGGGTTATGGGTGTGAGTTCTATACCCAAACTAGGGTGGGTGTGGCCTACCTACAATATAAGGCACAGAGAGTCTTGTTTCAGTGCTCCTCCCTTTTTGCTCTTGATGTTCTTGCTGTTTTCCACCACCAAGAACCATTGCCCTCTACCATGTGCCATTCTGCCTTGGAGCCAACTGATTATGGATTGAAACCTCCACAACTGTGAGCTAAATAAATCTTTCCTTTCTCCATTTTGGGTGTCAGGTATTTTGTCTCAGAATTGACAGAAAAATAACCAAGATACCAGCCAATGATATACTATTTTCACCAACTATACTTTAAATATATACTCTTGGGTAAAGTTTTTGAAAGGTGTACATTAAAATTTCCCTGAGAAACGTAGCACCAAGAGATTATGATTCAGGAGGCCTAGATGAGGGTCGGGAAACAGCACTAGGGCTGATGGGCTTGATCTACTCTGTAAATTGTACCCTGTGCTTTCTCTCCCACCTTTAGCAAGTCAGAGACAAGAAACAGAAGGTGAATGACCCCTGCTGTCCTTGTCCAGCTCACAGATGAAAGAATAAGCCTATATATCAGAGTGAAGGTGGGATTCATTTCCATAATTCTTTTGTTCATTCATGTATTTATCTGGCAAATATTTACTAACTGCTACAACCTCCTGGCCACTATCCTAAGAGTCAGAAATACAAAATGGAAGTCCTTTCCTTTGTAGAGTTAAAATTCTACCAAAGCAAAAACACTTCAAACATAAGATCACACTATACTAGGTAGTGTAAAATACTGTCACAAAAAACAAGTGAGTGAAAAGTGATTGAGAGTGACAGAGGTGTTTACTATAGATAAGCCTAAATGAAGAAGTAATGATTGTTAGACAACCATTGTTAGACAAATGGAGACAGCAAGTCACGGCAATATCCAGGGGAGGACAATTAAAGAAGCAGGGAGCACATGCGAAAGTTCAGACAGGAGTTTGGTAAGTCTGAGGGGCAGCAATTTGATCAGCGTGTCTGGAATGAAGAGAGGGAAAGACTTATGGGAAAGGTCTGAGATAATGAGAAGCGATGCACACAAGGTCTTACAGGTCAGAGTGAGGGTAGGATTCATTCCAATAAGAGGAAAGCTGATTAAGGTACTAGGCTAGGAATGAAACAGGCACCATTGCAGTATCATCTATGCTATGGACGCCCAGTGTATTGTCTAACTCATTACATCTAATTCAGTCACCAACTGGTGGCAAGGATGTGACACTTTTCCTCCCTTGATCTCTTAATTAGCTGAAGGGAAAAAGGAAGCCCATGGCCTTTTTAGCATCTCTTTTTTTTCTGGAATGGAAACCATGAGGAGCAGCGTCATTGGATAAAAAAGATATTGTCAGGATAGGAAGTTTTAGAAGCAAATCAAAATGTTCAAATAACCTGGAAGGTAAGAGAGCACTTCAGGTAAGAAAGAAGAAACACTTCTTACCTCGGACATGGCTTTAAGACTTTAAGGATTTTTGATGGTTCTACCTCCTCCTTCTCGTTCCTCTATGGGAGAAGAACAATATCCTGAGAAAGCAGAGCTGGAGAAGAAAAAAGAAACCATAAAAATGCTAGGTCTGCAACTGCAGCTCCCAGCATCACAGGCCTAGAAACCCTTCTTTCCTCTTCTCCTTCCACCACAGAGGCAGACTTCAGGAATCACTGAATGAAATCAGTTTAACTGAATTTACAGTCCTTTTCTCCCTGTGCCTTATATCTACAGACTACAATATATATCTGTGCATAACTTATCTCATTTATATTCATGAACAATAACAGCAACTGCAGATCGGTATTACCAAACAAGGTTTCTCCACCTTTTCATGCATGAAGGTGTTCCACTGGTGAGTACCAAGGTCTCATGGTAGTAAATACTTGAGCCAAAATAGAAACTAGGTCTAAATATTTACTTTTTCTATAAGTGATGATGATGAAATGAAATATGTCCCTATCCTTTCTAAACAGAAGACAGACAAAATCATCAATTGAGTTCCTAAAGAAAACATCTTGGGGCCAGAGATACAGCTCAGCAGCACAACACCTGCTTGGTAAGTTTGAGGTCCCGAGTTTGATTCCCAGTTCAAAAAAATCT